GCTCCCAAATCTCAAAATTCCCAAATCCCTAAGCTCCCAAATCCCAAAATTTCCAAATCCCTAAGCTCCCAAATTCCAAAGCTTCCAAATCCCTAAGCTCCCAAATCCCTAAGTTCTCAAATTCCAAACCTTCCAAATCCTATAAGCTCCCAAATTCCAAAATTCCCAAATCCCTAAGCTCCCAAATTCCAAATCTTCCAAATCCCAAAATTCCCAAATCCCTAATCTCCGAAATCCTAAAATTCCCAAATCCCCGACCTCCCCAAGCCCCCTAAATCCTCCTCCCTCCAAATTCCCACCTCCTCAAATTCCAATTTCCCAAATTCCCACATCCCCAACCCCATAAATCCTCGAATCCCACCACCCCAAACCGGTAAAATCTGAGTTCTGCGAACCCATCAAGAGTCCGTGAAATTCGAACATAAATAACATCGAAAGTTCTCCATGGCTGAAGATCGCTTATATCGAAAATGCCGAGTAAGTAGAATATCGAAAAGTTCCGCAATCGCGCACCGCGTAGAAGTACTTTGTAAATTTACCGAGAAAACCTGTTCATCAATTTCACCTTGTGCATTCTCCGTTTCCCGCTTGTTGGTCTTTTTAGCCGAAAACAAGCTACGATGCTGAGAAGAATGGTTTAAATTCCAACGTAACTACGCTGCATCGTTAAGCAACGAAAGATCTACCACTTCAACTTTAAGTAGCCATGAAATTCTTTTACATCGCGTAAATGTCTGAACGGAATTGGTTGAGATAACTGTCTACCGGCAATTAGAGTGGGAAGAATGTCCATATAAGTGCCTTGTAAATGTTCGCGCCGAGGTGAATACTTCGTTGTATTCTAACGAAAGTATTTTTGAGGAAAACTTGTACTTGAGGAACCGCATGATTTTGTGTAGGAAATCATATTCTCGATTAATGTAGTAACGTTTTCGAGTCTCCATCGTTCTGAGGGACTCATTTCAAAGAGGAAGCTTCAAAGAATATGACAATATTTTTTTTTAAATTTAAACCCTTACGTCCCTCATTGAAAAAAATGCAAAAAAAGAATTTGTTTAAATTTTTTGACATTTCATAACATATTGAGGGAATTAAAAAAAATATTTTAAAATAGCTTAATCTTTTGTGAATAAAACAGAAAAGAATTTAGCTAAATCGGTTGAGTGGTTTCTGAGAAAAAAATTCGTGAGTGAAGCCTATTTTCGCAAAATGGGAAAAATTGCAAACTTTGAAGGCTCGTTATTTTTTAACAAATTCGAAATAGGCAAAATGATGACTTAAACCCATCCTAATTTTATGTGGAGTATAACATATTTTGATTAGAGCAAAATCGTAAATGGTGTTGTCTAAAAATAATCGATTTGAAGTGGAATGACTCAAACGTAAGTATTACACTCTTTGTACTTTTTGAATTTTTTCTTTGACAAAGTATTAACAATGTCTCTTACATAACATTTTCAATAGTAAACAGATCAAAATTTAACTTCGAAAAGAATGAAATACTAAAATATAAATTACAAAGTATGAAAGATATTTCTATTAATCAGAGGTGTTTCATTCTCAAGCAGGTGGCGACACATAACGATAAAAAGAGATACTTTATCGCTGCACCTTTCGATAAAAACTGTTATCTTCAGTCGAGAATTTATCAAGACAGACATTTTTCATTCGATAAAATTATTACTAAGTACCAAATGTTGTTAATGTTCTGTTTAACGTTTCTTAAATCAGACAAACAAAAATATGAATAAGAATTTCTATTATCGTAAGATATTTTCGAAATAAGAAAAAGCGCGGGAAATTCAAATTTTCAACGTCCAAAAATGCTAAAAATTAGAGTGCTAAAATTTCAAAGTTTTAAGATGCAGAAGTACAAAAATTCTAACGTTCTTAAGTCCCAAAGTTCCAAAGTCCCAGAGCTCAGAAATATTAAGGTCCCAAACTCTGAAAGCTCTAAAATCTCAAATTTTTAACATCCAAAAATATCAGAAATCTAGAGCCCCAAAATTTCAATGTTTCAAGCCTTTAAAATTCCAGAGGTCCTAAGTCCCAAAGTCCCAAAGTCCCAGAGCTCAGAAATACCACGGTCTCAAATTCTGAAAGCTCTAAAATATCAAATTTTTGACATCCATAAAGTGCTAGAAACCCAGAGCCCAAAAATTTCAATGTTTCAAGATTTTAAAATTCCAGAGACCCTAAGTCCCAAAGTCCCAATATCTCAAAATTCAAAAATACCAAGGTCCCAAACTCTGAAAGCTCTAAAATCTTAAATTTTTAACATCCAAAAGTTTCAGAAATCCAGAGTCCTGAAATTTCAAAATTTCATGCTTCTAAAATTCCAGAGACCCTAAGTCCCAATATCTCAAAGTTCACAAATCTGAAAGTTCAAAAATACCAAGGTCCCAAACTCTCAAGATCCCATACTCCCAAGTTTCCAAGATCCCAAAGCTTCAAAACCCCAAAGTCCCACACTCCTTCCAAATTTCAACGTCCCAAAGTCCCAAAGTCCCAAAATCTCAAAGTTCAAAAATACCAAGGTCCCAAACTCTCAAGATCCAAACTCCCAAGTTTCCAAGATCCGAAACTGCCAAAAGCCCAAAATCCCACACTCCTTCCAAAGTTCCCAAGACCCAAAGTCCCAAACTTCTCAAGTCCCAACATCCCAAAGACCCAAAGCTCTAAGTCCCAAAGTTCCTCTCCCCATTTACAACATAAGCACCTCAAATAACCCACAATTTAACATTGCAACCAAACTCATCTTGTTACCATCCCCAAATTATCAACCTCGGTCCCATTTCCCATAAGTCCCACAATCCGCCCGCGATCCCCTAACCATCCGCTCCCAACCCACTCTCAACCCACCGTCCTACGAAGTACCCGCGATACGCTATCAAAAAAGCGAGCGTGTACGTGTACGGTCGGCAATGTTCGGCAATCGTCGGCGCCTGGTGAAGCACCGGCTCGTCGTAGCACATTCATTCACTCACACTCGATCGGTCTTCGGGTGAGCGTCTCCGTGGGGCCCGGGTATCGTGTTCGGTTGGCAAGGAAGAAAGGTACGGGATCGACGTGCATTTCACACCGGCATGAATAGTATTGCGTAGAAATTCAGTCGTGCGTATGCGTGACCGGTTGCATGGACGAAGCCGAAAGGGAAAAGAGGTGTGCGAGTGTGGCAGACAGAGCGGCGGCGGCGAGCGCGGGCAAACGGGTCGGCATTGGTAGGTGTACGATTAGCCGAAAACGCGCAGTCGCGCGTTGGTCCTGTCGGGTGGGAGGTGATCAGCTGTGAACACGCGAGGAGCGAGATGTTCGTCCTGCAGAGATCTATATTGTGAGTACCTGAAATAATTTTTGAACAAAACCACCCGTAACCGAGATATAGCCCGCGTACACACTCGATTAAAGGTAGCTCTGCCTTTGAGGCACCGGTGCACGGTCAGGGCACGCACGTGCGCGCCGAGACGAGCGCCGAGAGGAGCGGAAAATGCCAGTGGGAATACGCGAGAAGGGCCGTTGTAACCTAGCTTCTGCCGCAATGCAGTGCTGAAAATAGGAACGCGCTGGGAATCAGCCGATCGATACGAGGCCACGTTAACGTGCCGCTCTTGTGGGACAGTGCCAAACGGAATCCTAGCGCGATACGTTCCAAAATTTGACTACCTTTCTTTCTTTCTTTCGACACGCTCGCCGCCGAAAGATTCCCTAGGGACGGGTCATGACCGAGGGAGAGGACCGCCCATTCATTGATTTTTTGGTGGGTTTCAGGAGTTGGGGGTTTGGAGATTTTGCTAGGGTGGTTTGGGGGGTTGGGAAGTGAGAAGGTGGGATTTTGGGAAGGTTGAAGTTTGCGGATTTAAAAATGTGAAAATTTGGAGATATAAAAATTTAGGAATTGGGAAGATTGTCATCATGGTACTAGGGGATGTGAGAATTTAGAAATTGGAAAAGTTGGTAGTGTCAAGATTTAGAATTTGAAAATTTAGGTATTGGAAAGCCTATGATCACAGTACTAGGGGATGTGAGAATTTAGAAATTGGAAAAATTGGTAGTGCGAAGATTTAGAATTTGGAAATTTAGGAATTGGAAAATTTGGCGTTTGAAAATGTGGCACTGTGAAAATTTAGAAATTTGAAAATTTAGAAATTGGAAAATTTGTCATTTGAAAATGTGGCACTGTGAAAATTTAGAAATTTGAAAATTTAGAAATTGGAAAATTTGTCATTTGAAAATGTGGCACTGTGAAAATTTAGAAATTTGAAAATTTAGAATGGGAGGTGATCAGCTGTGAACACGCGAGGAGCGAGATGTTCGTCCTGCAGAGATCTATATTGTGAGTACCTGAAATAATTTTTGAACAAAACCACCCGTAACCGAGATATAGCCCGCGTACACACTCGATTAAAGGTAGCTCTGCCTTTGAGGCACCGGTGCACGGTCAGGGCACGCACGTGCGCGCCGAGACGAGCGCCGAGAGGAGCGGAAAATGCCAGTGGGAATACGCGAGAAGGGCCGTTGTAACCTAGCTTCTGCCGCAATGCAGTGCTGAAAATAGGAACGCGCTGGGAATCAGCCGATCGATACGAGGCCACGTTAACGTGCCGCTCTTGTGGGACAGTGCCAAACGGAATCCTAGCGCGATACGTTCCAAAATTTGACTACCTTTCTTTCTTTCTTTCGACACGCTCGCCGCCGAAAGATTCCCTAGGGACGGGTCATGACCGAGGGAGAGGACCGCCCATTCATTGATTTTTTGGTGGGTTTCAGGAGTTGGGGGTTTGGAGATTTTGCTAGGGTGGTTTGGGGGGTTGGGAAGTGAGAAGGTGGGATTTTGGGAAGGTTGAAGTTTGCGGATTTAAAAATGTGAAAATTTGGAGATATAAAAATTTAGGAATTGGGAAGATTGTCATCATGGTACTAGGGGATGTGAGAATTTAGAAATTGGAAAAGTTGGTAGTGTCAAGATTTAGAATTTGAAAATTTAGGTATTGGAAAGCCTATGATCACAGTACTAGGGGATGTGAGAATTTAGAAATTGGAAAAATTGGTAGTGCGAAGATTTAGAATTTGGAAATTTAGGAATTGGAAAATTTGGCGTTTGAAAATGTGGCACTGTGAAAATTTAGAAATTTGAAAATTTAGAAATTGGAAAATTTGTCATTTGAAAATGTGGCACTGTGAAAATTTAGAAATTTGAATATTTACAAACAGAAGAGTTCAGAAATTATAAATTGCAATAACAGAAATGAAAATTTATGAATTTACAGCTTTGTAAATTTAATAATTTTTTAGTCAGAAATTTAATAAATTTCAATATCCAAAAATTTCATTAATCAAAAATAAATAATATAAAAATTTTTAAGTACAGAAAATTAAAAGTTTGATGATCCAATTTGAATATTAAAGACCCCATGGATTTAGAAAGATAAAATTGTAAATTTTTGAGTTGTACAATTCTTAAATAGGAAAGTATAGTAAGTGAGTATGTAAGATTTAATTTCTGTCGATACCAGGGAAATAACGTTAAGACCTTTGTATTTTATCCTCAGCCATTTCTCATCCTATAACCAGTAATCCTGAGAAACGTCGACCCCCGAATGAATCAACGTCTGTCGAAAAATTTAGGAGGGGGACAGGGTTCGTCCTTGGTGGAACTTTCCACCCTCGGTTGAAAGATTTTGTCAGACTTGAACAAAATGTGGTTCATATATTATTTACACATTTAGTTAATTTATTACAAATTATGAAAATTTCAAGGTTCTAAAATTTCACAAGTTTTCAAAGTTCTAAAATTCCGTAGGGTTTCAAACTTTCAGAAATCTCAAATTTCACAGTTAAAAAATTCCTTAGGGTTTCAAACTATCAAAAATCCTAAGTTTCAAAGTTAAAAAATTCCCTAGGGTTTCAAACTTTCAGAAATCCCAAATTTCAAAGTTACAAAATTTCACAAGTTCTAAAAATCTTTAATTTCACATGTTGTCAAACTTGTACAAAATTTTAAATAAAATATTAAACTGAATTACTATGAATACTTTGAATTATTGAAGTAGGTTAAAATATATCCCATCATGCATCAAATGCCAAGTAAAAGGAGGAACAGTTTTTAACCCACCTAGCCCTAAAGAGATGTAACGTCATAGAGATCGTTCAACCCAACCTCGATCAATGAACGGAATATTATTTTATTCCGCAGATTTCTCTGAAAAACATCCGCCATTGGAATCACAAAAATAGATACGTTCGCTGAATACCCAGCCTCACTTGACGAAGCAGGAAGTTTGGAATTTGTTACTTTGGGGAGACGTGTACTGGGACAAACAAATTGGAATTTTTAAATTTTAGGGATTTGAGACTTGGAATTTTTGAAGGTTATGGACGGTGCAAGTTTGGGAAATTTTTAGGGAACTTTTGGAGAATTTTAGAAGTTTGAACTTTAGGAGTTTTGGGAGTTTGAAACCCTAGGGAATTTTTTAACTTTGAAACTTAGGATTGTTGAAAGTTTGAAACCCTAGAGAATTTTTTACTTTTGAAATTTGGGATTTCTGAAAGTTTGAAACCCTAAGGAATTTTTTAACTTTGAAATTTAGCATTTTAGAAAGTTTGAAACTCTAGGAAATTTTAGAATTTTGAAATTCAAGATCTTTGGAAGTTTGACAACTCGTGAAATTTAAGATTCTTAAAACTTTGAAGACTTGCGAAATTTGAAAACTTAAAAATTAAAAATTTTTAGACCTTTGACAACTTTTTAAATTTTAGAACTTCAAAGACTTGTGTCGTATCATGTACCAATCATCTACCAATCTATTATATTTTAAAAGAAGTTAAAAAATTAAACTTTATATCTAATATCAGACAATGTAAGAGATACCGTTTTCGTTCTATTTACCTGCGTTCCACAAAACAGTTGATGATACCGTTATTACGATGGCAATAGCGTACACTGTTTACATAACTTCACAAACGCATTCGCTGTTATACACACATTTGGCAATTGCTTGTCCTCTACACACGGCGTGTCGAATTCTTTTTCAAACGCGATTAGTTTACGACACGTTATGCGACTGTACGATAAAACCTAAACGGTAACGGATATAGGGAGCCCACGAATCGGTCCCTGGTGTGTAGAAAAATGGTGGGTCTTTTAACGTTGCATCTTCCTTTGGAGATGTCCAGACTTTTTAAATTCAACAATTTTTATTTCTGCAATTGCAATTTATAATTTTTTAACTTTCCAATTTTTAGATTCTCAAATTTCTGAATTTTCACGGTGCCACATTTTCAAATTATTGGTTTTTAATTTTTAACATATTGGTTTTTAATTTTTAACATATTGGTTTTTACAATTTTTAACATATTGGTTTTTAATTTTTAACATATTGGTTTTTACTTTTGTAGTCTCGTGTTTTGGAGTGTACGTATGTGACCTTTGAGTAATTCAAGGTTACAGGAGATTGAGGACACTTTAAATAGACCGTTGTAAGCTTCATAGTTATAAATATAGAGTAATAGACATTGATCTTTGGGGTCTGTTTAACCCCTTTGTTCTCCGTTACGCTTTCATTTTATGCGACGGAAATAGAATTGTTTTATTTTTTGAAATAATTGAAATTGAACGAATGCAACGCTGAACACAGTCAAGGATAAATTAGAGATCATAATTTAAGATTATTAGGAAATTCATTTTTAAACATGATAATTTTCATCTTTTAGATAAATTAATAAGTCTCTTCAATTTTTAATAGTTTCATTCTCAGTCAGTTTCAGTTTTGAATTTTTCTTGTGATTAATTCTGAGTCAAATTCATTTTTGAATTTTTTTATTATTAATTTTGAGTCAAATTCATTTTTGAATTTTTTTATGATTAATTTTGAGTCAATTTCATTTTTTAATTTTTTTATTATTAATTCTCAGTCAGATTCAGTTTTGAATTTTTTTTGTGATTAATTCTGTCAAATTCATTTTTGAATTCTTTTATGATTAATTTTTAGCCAAATTCATTTTTGAATTTCTTTATTATTATTTCTGAGTCAATTTCATTTTTGAATTTTTTTATAATTAATTCTGATTCAAATTCATTTTTAAATTTTTTTATAATTAATTTTGAGTCAAATTCATTGTTGAATTTTTTTATAATTAATTCTCAGTCAATTTCACTAAAAAATTTGTTTAATATCATTAATTTTTAGTAGATTTTTGTTTTTATATTTTAATATTGAAAAATGAAAATGAGGTGAAAAATTAAAAAAATATATATTACTATATTTGAATGAAAATGAAAATTTTCTCAAACTTCTCAAACAAGAAACCCGATAAATCGTCTAATTGTTAAACAAT